CGACAAAAGAGAGAAACTCATACAGGTTTGGAACGACATGATGATAATTAAATGATAAGAATTAAATGACTGAATTTTCATTTTAGGTGAACTACCCCTTTAAGAGCTGTTCTTTTCAATAAGGTTTTAGAGTTAATCCACAGAAAAAGAGCTGACTTTGATAACACACAATGGTGCTCTCTCTTTCTGTCTCTCTAAACAGTAGGAACAGACAGCACCCTGTCGACAGTGCCTATGTTCTAACTAGGCCACCCAGGAGAGAATGAAAAAGTGCTGCTCTATATGATCGGAAGGGGAGGTTAAGACCTGCATGCATCTGGTCCGACTTCAACACCTGCTGACTGCGAAGAGGCTGCTGCGTACGCTTACCGCAAATACGGTTACAATTAAATTTATTAAAATTCACCTATAAAGTATTCACTGTGATTAAACACAAGCACACATATGGTATCTCACCTGTTGGCATTCTCGAGCGTCTCTACTTTTTTCCACAGCTCATTGTTCTCTGAAGTATAGTTCTCAACTCTGAGGAGGAGAGAGAAAGTGTGTTATTGTACACGGTCGCAATGACAGATTGAAACACATCAATAAATCGCTTCCATACGTATAACCATACATAACCCTGTCAGCTTGACTGATTAAAGCATGGTGGAAAAAACAGTGTATGTGTGTGTCCAGTGTGAGTCCAGTCTCTCCAGCACATTATCCAAACCCTGAGAGCCTAACAGCAGCATAAAAGGGAAAATGACTCATGCAAACGCACACACACCCCAATGAGTGCATGGACTGTAGCCATTGGCCGCATTCACACAACAAAAGCCATAAAATAGCAAGCAGGATATAGAGTATTTTGCAGGGAGTGAGAGAGAAGAGAGGATTAAAGGAGAGGAGGTCAACGAAGAGAAAGAAGGATGAAGGCACCAAGAAAACATAGAGGACAGTGGATGCTAGACAAACAATGCAAGAGGTGGGGAAGAGAAAATAAGAGCAGGAGAGAAAAGAAGAGCCGTCAGAAAGGGAGAGAGGGAGTAGAAGAGGTAGAGAACAAAGGAGTAGAGTAGGGGAGGCAATTACTTTTTCTCCAAACACTCCACGTATTCCTTCTTCTTCCTGCGGCTTTCCTGTGCAGAGATCTAAGAAAAAAAAATGCATCTACTTTAGCATTGAAGTATTATGTCTATATTTTTTGATTTTCCTGCGCACCCGTTTGAGGGCTTTCTCCTCAGTTTTGGTGAGCGGTAGTTTGTTGGGGACAGGATATCCCTCAGCGATCAAAGTCCTCTTCTCTTCCTCTGTCAGCATCAAAGGGCCTGATGTTCCCTGCAGCTTCTGCATTACAACACAAGTCAGCGATTTTCACTCTGTATAGATGTGTTCAATATGTATGGATATAAGAATTTCCATTTGGACTGTATATACTGTAATGAACATGGTGTGTCACATGCTGAAACTGCGTTTAACTCACATGCGGGGCGGTGAGGAGAGGGGACGAGGAGATGGCTGTGGAGGTTCGGGCCTGTAGCCGGGCAGGGCTGGATGGAGGCAGTGAATGTGGGCTCTGCAGGTGGCCAGGGCTTAATGGTGGCAGTGAATGTGGGCTTTGGGATCCGTCGCTGTCACTGCCATGGCTGCTGGGAGGAGTGGGCGGCAACCGCAGATGCTCATCTATTGGGAAAACAAAGATACGAGACACACTTGAAACACCTGTGACTCGTTAATTTGTGACATTCACATCTTCATGATCAGGTTTGATTCCGTATATATGCTACACAAACACGGCGACCCATCAAAACAGAGTTAAAATGGGTTTTTGAGCAAAGCCAGGCCAAAGTGTCAAACTGAAATTCAGTCTATTCACCTGTCATCAGGAAAAGCCAATAAAGCCTAATCCGTTGGAAGCTTTTAGGCATTTCGCACACAGCACATGCATGAACAATGCTTCTAAGTGTGGTGAGTGTTGGACTCATCATGTGTTTGGTCTGGCCATGTTCCATTAAATACACAGAACTGCTTTAATGCTGTTGTTTCTGGATGAACAGAATGAAAGGACGTTATATTGCCAGACAGACAGCGCACAAACAACACTTGCAGGTGCTATAGGTTGCTTGCCATTAGCAGATTTTCGTCCAAAATGACGTGTGGTGTACTGAGGGGACAGTCACACTGGAGAAACGTAGGGTTATTTGCCTTTTCTCAGCAACACAATGGTGGTGACTTAACTTAAAACCTAAAAATAGTCTAGAACCAACATCAAACACTAATGGCTATTAAATGCAGGGACTGTATATGTTTGCGGTACATACACAGAGATCTAACTTATCAATATCATGACCATCCAGTTACTTTACTTATCAAAAGTTTGGTCAGTCACCAGTCAAAAAACTGTTCTTTAGCACTGCACTTTCATCAAAGAATCCTGAAAACATGTGTTGCTCTTTCCACAAACATATCAAGCAGCACAACTATTTTTAACATAATAACAAGAAATGTTTGTTGAGCACCAAATCAGCATATTAGAATGATTTCTGAAGGATCATGTGACACTGAAGACTGGAGTAATGGCTGCCGATTTTTTTTTTCAGCAAAAAAAAGTATGTTTTAAAATACATTAAAACAGAAAACATTTTAAATTGTAATCTCTAATCTTTAATATTTCAAAATATTATCAATTTACTGTATTTTTGATCAAATAAAATGCATCCTTGATGAGCATAAGTGAATTAAAAAAAAAAACTGACCACAATTTGCAAACAATTCACTCTACACAATGGGCTAAAATGCAATTCTCAGAGGTTACATCAGAATTGGTTTTCATCAATGGGCCATTCAGAAAGGGCTAAAGTTGAGATCTGAGAGATTGTCAAACACATGCTAAAGTTAAATAAAGAAACACTCACACTAAGCCTCATTTCCGCTGGAAAAGGAACACACCATTAGAGTATTTATAACCCTGAACTGACCGTAGAGCGAGGGAGCAGAATAAAAGTGGGCTAATTTGCTTAGTTTTGCCATCTTTAAACTAGTGTGGAAGATCTGCACTGGCCATATGTGGCAACTAAGTGCTATATGTTGAGTACATTAGCTTGTTGTTGTGCATCTAAAGTAGCGGGCTATTTTAGAACCTTGTATATAGAGGACAGTCATGGTTAAAAGACTGAATTGCTGTGCCTTCAGTGCTGGGCCCCAGCATAGGTTAGTGGAATGCTACTGTCACTACTAGGCATGTTAACTAGCTAAACCAGCAAGACTCACTTGGTCAAACTGTTTCATCACAAAGACCATGCTGTTTAAGAGCAGGACTGAAGAGAGATTTCACACCCACCTGAGGGCACACTGAGGAACTGGTTCACCTCTCTGGGCTCTGCTTTGATGGCAGGAACGGAGTTTGAGCTCAGGCCTTTGGAACTCTAACACAACAAAAACAAAGAGCAAAACAATCAACATGATGACATCAAAATTTTATGCACTTTCCTGGTCTTACACAAGTAATCTGTGCATATTTGTGCTATACTATATTTGAACATTTAATCAAAATTTTCTCACTACTAAAATGACTTTCTTGTTCTGCTGATAAAGTCAGGTATCACCCTACATTTTTTAATCATTAATATCCTGTTTCACTCAAAAATATGGCACAAGAAGAAAGTAAAATTAAATTCTCATTCATTACAATATGCAACAGATGCTTATTCACTAAAGTATCTGTGAAAGTAAAACTTTAGAGGTGTTAGTGAGGCCAGCAGGGGGTGCTCACCCTGTGGTCTGTGTGGGTCCTAACACCCCAGTATAGTGACGGGGACACTATACTGTCAATAAGCACCGTCCTTCGGATGAGACGTTAAACCGAGGTCCTGACTCTCTGTGGTCATTAAAAATCCCAGGATGTCCTTCGGAAAGAGTAGAGGTGTGACCTCGGCATCCTGGCCAAATTTGCCCATTGGCCTCTGATCATCATGGCCTCCTAACAATCCCCATATCTGCTAATTGGCTTCATCACTCTGTCTCCTCTCCACCAATAAGCTGGTGTGTGGTGGGCGTTCTGGCGCACTATGGCTGCCGTCACATCATCCAGGTGGATGCTGCACACTGGTGGTGGTACCCCCTGAACCCCCTGACAATGTAAAGCACTTTGAGTGCCTAGAAAAGCGCTATATAAATGTAATTAATTATTATTATTATTATTATTAAAGAAGCATCTTGTGTTTTCTCAATGCAAGTTGCAGCAATATATGTGGCACAGAGACATCATTCAGCTTTATCTGAGAGCCATTTCTGATGGTACTCAACTTTTAGGGTACTGGACTAAATGTGCTCCATGCTGGATGTCTGAGACAGTAAACACAGCTGAAGGCAGACTCAAACTGTTTACACTGACAGAGCAAAGGCTACCCGCTTGCTAACCACACACAGTCTGGCCAGCGACCAACCATCATGCACAAAGTGAGGTGACATGAGCCTCAGATCAGAGGGGCTGTTGTACCATTGACCTTTCTTCATACCTCCCTCTTATTATTTTCTGGGTCAGCGGACGGTATTCCCCACCAACTTGAGCTGGTAAAGGCCTTTGTACAAAGAGACTAAAATACTGTACTTTAAAAAATTGCAGAGGTGTGCTATTAGCTGGAAAAAGTTGTCAGATTATATTATAACTTGCAAAGCCATGACACTTTACTGCCATTTTAAGGGTTTCTACATTATGAAAGCATTCTTAAGTGTATTTAGAGACTGAACACTACCTACACAGAATCAAACGAGCAAGAGTGTTGTTGATATGCTATTGATATTTAGTACAACACTGCGACTGTGATATTGCTAGTTGCTAGTTGACATAGATAAACAGATTTTAGACACAACAGTACCATTCGCCATGTACACTTTTTTTAGTGATGTCAAATTATTAATCGCGATTAATCGCATCCAAAATGAAAGTTTGTGTTTACATATCATATGGGTGTGTACTGTGTATATTTATTTTGTATATATAAACAGGCACACACATGCATGTATATATTTAAGAAAAATTCTATATTTTTATATTAAATATTTATATTTATTTATAATATAAATTATATATAAATATAAATTAACATAAATATTTTTTCAAATAGATACATGTATGTGACTGCATTTATATATACATAATAAACAAGCACAGTACACACACATCTATCATGTAAACACAAACCTTTATTTTGGATGCGATTAATCGTTTGACAGCTCTACTCTTTTTCTGTGTTACCTGCACTCAGATATCCCTGTTTATTTGTCAGCAAAAGTCTGCCAGATTATGCAAAATGCAACTTTTGCTGAAAAAAAATGGGGATATCTGGGTGCAGGTAACACTTAGAAAGAGTACACACTGTTCATTTACATATACTACCAACATAGTAACAATACAAAGCTGGGTAAAAATAAGCAAACTTAACCTTTATTGAATTAGTTGAGTCAATGATTCAATGACTCACTCATAAAAACAATCGCTTGATAAGTTCCATTATGAATCAGTGTTTTAAAATTTGATTCTGTCAATGATTCAATTAATTGCTCATAAAGTGTCCAAATATGCCTAATAAATAGCAGGCTAAGAGCAGTATGTGTAAAGAGTTGTATGTATGAATTTATAGAATTCATAAAAAAGCAGGCATAAAGTACCCAGCTGGTCTACTGCTTCTACAGGGATTCGAAAGTGCAAATCACAAGATGTCACATGAGATAAGCTGTAAATGGCAGTGAAGCAGCACGACTATACTGTAAGTCACATGACACTGACAATTTTGGGATGTAGTATGTCCGGATTGCATTCATACTACACACATTCTTACAATAAAGAATTTTTTTTAATAGTCCAATGTAGTACCTCCAGTACCAGTATGTGCACTGTGCACTTGTTGCTACAAACTGGTGTAATGATTTAACATGCAGAAAGAGTCACTGAAAAATCTCTACAACTATACAGCCTGTCAGCCTCAAATCCGAGTACTGGAACTGATTCATAAAAACTGTAAATACACAAAAACTGAATCTTTCAAAAGTGTCTATAAAACATATTTCAAATAGCATTCCTCCTCTTCTAGTCAAGCTTCATTAAAATTAAACTACAGCAAAATCAGGTCATATTCTGTTTTAGTTGGACCAATAACTTGGACTAATTCAACATTTCAAGGTGGCCTCAAAAGGTTCCAAAGCACTGCCTAAGATTATGTAATATATGCAGATTATGAATTATAGTTATTATGGTGCTCCATGTCTTAACTCCATGTTATTTATGGTTTGTGTTTATCTGGTGAGAGCTGCTCTTCCTGTGGCACACGGTCACAGTGTCTCTATGAGGATGCTCTCCAGTACAGCTGCACACTGACAATACAGCAGAACCCAGTGGGATGTCAGAGCAGCTTTACACCATGTGCGTGTCTTGCTGCCCTTCTTAAATAAAGGACATGTGCTTATATAACCCCATCCATCCTGAATGTTATTTCATCTAGCCAAGTTATTCTTGACAGCACTTCTCATTTGTTAACTTATAGCAAAAATGTTCAAGCCCTTGTTCAGTGTGTTTGCTTATTTTGTTGACAGGTATCTTCACACAGCACAATCGGGCTCCCCGGAGAGGGCAGAGTTTATGGGAGCTGGCGGAAAGTCTGGCCTGAGTTAGTGTCAAGTCAGGGAGAAGAGAACAGTTCCATGGCTCTGATGCTCAAAGAGAGTCCGGTGCCAGATTCGAGAACTAAAGAACTAATCTAATCTCAGCTCAACACTGATGCTGCTGGAGCCGATTCCCATGCTTCAGTAAGTTCAACTCCTCACACTCACACTCATACTGCGAACATGTTCACTGGGCAGAGAAGAGGAGCAAGCTGCCAGCTGAGCAAAAGAGCACATGAAGCACGTGTGCGCATGTTTTTCATTGTCATACTAATACAATGGTCCCTCTGGTATGCAGTGTGTGTAAGGTTCACCATCATTAGCTCGCTTACATCGGTTGATATCCACTCTAAAATAACATTTACATGACTAATAAAACAAGTATTTCACTCTAACGTCGGTTTTCAAGATGAGTTGTATGATGGCCATTTTTACCTTCTCCCCTGTGTGGTTTCTCTGTGGCGGAGGGGCAAGAGTGAGGGGATGTGAGCAGGTGCTGGTGTTGGCCAGAGGGGGCGATGTATCAGGGCAGTTTTCTGACATCAGGCTGGGCTCCTGCTTCACTAGAATGGCTGTGAGATCCTGACTGAACGACCACATCCCTTCTGAGTCTAAGGAAAGAAATAACAGGCTCAAACAAACAGAAAACAGAGAAAAAGGACTGACAGTTACATTTTAAAAGTTTTGTTAAAAAATGCTTTGGGGAGTGACACATGGAATGATAACTATTAAGTCTCTCAAAAGACTCAATCAATCAGACGTTAAAAACAGAGAGAGCTACTGAATAAAACAAAATGCAGGTTTCTCAAAGCACAATTTAAACAGTCGAACTCGACAGCTGACATGCATGTTTGCATAGATTAACAAATTAAAAAATAAATTAACATTGGAAAATATAACCACAAGTCCTGTGGACAGTAGGCCACAGATAAGCTTATGTAAAATGAAATGAAAACAACAAAACAATCAATATACTTTTTACTGTCTATTCAGTGCTTCAGATTATTCAGTTTTTCATGTGCTTTTTAAAATCTATTTAATCAGCATACCAATTAGAAAATACATTTTAATCCATTGACAGCCAAAAAATAAATATATTAATAAATCATTGTGTATCAGACAATATTCAGTAATGTAATGCATCTGTGTGCTTTTTTTATTTTTATTTTTTTTTAAAGGGCCTTATTGGCAAATATCATGCAGGATGTTAACACCATGGAGGACATTGCAATCAATGAGTGATATTTCCAGGAAAGTGACAAATTTCACACTCCAGACCCCATGGAGGGGGTTTCATACAGATGCAGGTGAGGAAGACAGACTCTGTTAATGACCGGAAGGGTAAAGCAAACCAGCTTCTCTTTATACTGTTAACACAAAAGCCTATATGGTGTGGGAGGGGCAGGTGAGAGATTGGGGGCATGTAGGGTGGCTAGAGAACAGCTCGACATGTTTGGGCGCTTCAAAGAGAAGGAAAGCACTGCATATAGTGGGAGCCCTCGTTATCACATCGCCCTCGGTAGCATTCATGTGCAGGCTCCACTGCAGGATCGATAAAACATTATGCGGCCTTGTAAAAGAAGGATGGCAGGTTTTTCATGTTAGTCCTCTGTTAGGGAAGGACATCAGCAGGAGTTTGATTACAACAGGAGAGCAAAGCTCTTTAGGAGTTCTGCTGTTCGGTGGAGAGCGCTGGATTTTATACTTCATAGCTCTCAGTCTGTGGGGAACCTCTGTAAAAGTGCCTAACCCTTCAGTTTAGTACACCAGATTAGGCCATAAGAGTCTGTCCTTCACCAGGGTGCACTAAAGCAAACACACTCTCATGCACAGCCTCTATTGTGAATAAAGGATTAGTCGTCTTTTCAGCTTTTTCAAACATGATTAGACCAAAAGTACACTTTCTGAAGGTCGGATCTGGTAGATCAGAGGGGTCATCTCTGTCTCTCGGATCTATAAGGAGCCTCTCATTCTAACTGCCTATCTCTCTATTTATTAAATCAAAATGAGGTTATGGACATCCCTGATGAACCAAACCAGCACTGACCAGTATAAACCAACATGGAAAAGCTGGCTGGTCTTGCAATATAAACATTTTGGTAACACTTTAGTATAGGGACCAGTTCTCATTATTAATTAATTGCTGCTTATTAGCATGCATATTATTAACATATTGGCTGTTTATTAGTACTTATAAAGCACATATTCTGCATGACCATATTCTACATCCCTAATCTTACCCAATACCTAAACTTAACAACTACCTTACTAACTATTAATAAGCAGCAAATTAGGAGTTTACTGAGGCAAAAGTCATAGTTGATGGTTTGTTAATAGCGAGAATTGTAGCTTAAAATAATGTGTGACCAACATTTTCAATATTTGGATCCAAAAAATGTCAGTAGGATTGATATAGACTTTCACTTTAAGTTTAACATGCACTATAAAAGTTTGCTTTCAATCTGACTAAAGCAGTAATTCATCTTTTTAAAATGTCCTGTAAAATGTGACTGAAATTGTACAAAGTCAGACTGACAGATCTAGATAATGTCACAGTAGGTCAGCTTCATTCAGCACGAATACATGGTAATCAGACTACAACTGGCCTTTGTGTTGTGTGCTTGTTCTGAAAGACTGAGGTGACACACAGTATACTGTGTCATGTACTCGGACAGATAGATGAAGACAAGGCAAAAACCTGCTGCAGCTTGATTATAATTGCACATTTAAACGTACTTCTCTCTGTTTCTCCATGTGGTAGCTTGAATGTTGCTTAGAGCTGATGTTACTCAATAATGGACAAAAGTTGTTTTAATTTTACATGCAAAAGTCCCTCCTTATACTCTACAGAAGTTACTGGGTCCTGCCCACAGGGCACTGTAAGGCTTTGATGTCTCTCAGGACAGCAGGTATCATAGCGGGGTGACTCCAGGTCGGCGGAGATGGAAAAGCGATGCTCATTAGCAGGTTTAAAGTTACTGCAGAGCAACAGGAGACAAAGTAGTGAACCAGCCAGCGCTTACTTTAACTGCCCCCTAAAGCCGCTCACAGTCTTTATAGGGGCAGGTTTATGGATCAGAGGGGATATCACACATAACTGAAACACCTGAACTCACTGTGGTCATCTAATAGACTGTCAGAAAAAAATGAGCAAAAACTATACTTTTAAGGGTACAACAGCTTGTCACTGCAGTACCTTTAAAAGGACATCTCTGTAACCTATTTACCTCTAAAAGGTACATAGTAGTGTACCTTAATGGTACAGATGGCAGGGTATAGATGGCTGAAATATATTTAAAATGTTTGTCATGAGGCCTGAAAATTGTATAATTAAATTTACTGTCAGTAAGTTAATTGTCAATTCAACTATTATTTCCTGCATTTTACTATTAATTTTATGTTCCTTTTTTAACAAATCACACCTTGTTAATATGCACCTTTTAGATTGTACCCCTAAAGCACACCTGCCACCGTAACCCGAAAGGTTCACATTTTTCTGTAAATTCAGTTCTTTGAGCTAGAAAGCACAGAGAGAGAAAGAAACAATGGCACGAATGTGTTCTGAAAGACCTTCATTTTGGATGCTCAGGGCACTATAGTCTGGCTAAATGGATCGAGAAATCCTGCAGTACCTTCATGCTTCTTTAAGGATTTGTTGATTTAAAGCCTGACTGGAAAGAAGCTGCAGTCTGCACACACACTCCTTGCATAGTCAACCTAAGTTCAGGATGATGCAACTCTCTGAGCCACCCCCACCAAATTCTCCATCTGAAGCTGGAAACCAGACCCCTTTTATTTTATGGATGTCTACAGTTCCCTGGACTGATCGTGGTGTGTGTGAGAAAGAGAGAGAGAGAGAGAGAGAGAGACAGACGGATGAACTGACAGAATGAGTGAGTGAGTATGAGTGTTGGCTATCTTCCTGGAATTCCCAGCTTCCAATGGAAGACTGAGCTCTTGGCTAGAGCTTTGTCAAGGAACCCTGTGCTGCACGGGTGCTCCGGGAGATAAGGAGGAGAGAATAAAAAGAAAGGGACTTTATAGAAAAACAGAGCTGCTGATAGATGATGCTTTGAACTTTGGCGTTTATCAGGAGTGTAAAATCTTCTGATAATCTAACACAGAGAGCTGATTTTCTGATTGGATGGATGACATGTAAGACGAGGAATGAATAGAGCTTCTTGCTAACCTGCATCATCATCTGATTTGATGGGCATAGAGGGGCTCTGTGGGGCAGAATCCCCGCTGAGAGAGTAGCTGTGTTCTGCCTGGATGTCAGGGTTTGGAGGGTCCAGATCCATATCCAACAATGGGTTCCTCTCCGCCAACAGATGATCATCAAAGAAACTGTTGAAAAGGTCATTGGAGAAATCCTCCATCTGCTCGGAGAAATGCTGGGAAGAGAGCACAAAGACACTATGTAATTCAGGAATAAATTACATTTTCCAGCATATTAAAATATGAAACGGTTATTTTAAAGGGTAATAATATATTGACAAAATTACTGTATTTTTGATCAAACAAATGGAGCCTTGGTGAGCATAAGAGACTTTTAAAAACACCTTACCAAATGTCAACTTTTGAAGCGTATCTAACCATAATGCATGAACAAATAATAAATTGGCTGAATTCATCCCACTCCCTGATCATGTTATTATAAGCAAAGATCAACTCAAATAACATCTTGAGATGCTAATTTGATATACAGCCTCTTTTCAAATGATCATTTAAATAGTCACAGCTGAAATTCAGAGGAACACTGATAAACCCCTTCTGTTATTTAGCCTAAGGTGCATGTGTCTGAAAAGTATATTTAAAAAAAGAGACATGCATTCTTCTATGCATGAGTGCGTTTAGAATGCATGTCGTCATTTTGCGAATGAAGGATGTGTGTGTACGTCTCTGCTGTGGGGGTATGCGAATGTGTGTTTGCTGAGCCAGGGTGTGACAAAGGTGTGAGAGGACCTGATCGTGTTTACATCCTGGTGAACGGGGACAGGTGTGTGAATGACACACCTGTAGCGCAGTGAGCATATAAACCAGCCGCTATGCACATATCACACATAAGGACACGTGCACACATCCAAACTCCCAGCACCTGTATGAGTTCCCACACAAACCCCTAACCACTGCAAGACCTCTGTGAAGAGGGGACTGGGAAAGCAGTGCTGTTATGAATGTTTACTCTGGCTGTCCCTACTCAACCAAACAGAGCTTCCAAAACAAAATCTGGTCAAACTTGTTGCTCACCATATGGATGCATAAGCAGAGGAGCAGAAAACAAACCCTGCAATGGCAGTTATCCGTATTGTTTGATGAATGACATCCTGGGAACACCCTGATGATCGAGTTTGTGAAATGACACAGCTCGCCTGCCGTCAGTGCCGGGCTAATCACCACGGTTGAGCATGGCAGTATAAACAGTTTCACAGACTTGATTAATCTGGACTGAAGTTGCTATTTCAGAACTCTGAGCTGCATATGCTTGCAGGCTGCATGTGTGTGTTAATTTGCATAGTAGTGCTTTGACATTTTTGTCAAGTAATCCATTAGCCTAATGCAAAATGCAAATATAAATGATGCCTATTACGAATGAGCTTCGATGGAAACCTGCATTCACGTATGCAACTTCCCTGTCTGTGTGGTCCTGTGTACATTTGTTATCAGAGCAGACAGTCAGAATGCTTCTCTAATCAGTTTTATCGCTCTGTAGAGCTCTTTCCTGTTTTGACAAGTGTCAGTTGAGAGTTTCTTATGTGGTGTCTGTCTGGTTTTTGGTTGACCTTGCAGGGACCAATGGTAATGATGCAGTGCTGGGGTGCTGATGCAAGAGTCCTGAAATTCCACATCTGGAAGGCTCCTCAGAGGAAGAATTCCAGAAGAGCTTGGAAGAACTGGAAGAGTGTGTCTCTGTCATTAGGGTCAAATTTGAGGAGAAATGAAAACAAGAAATGTCTCAGGCTTACAGGTAAACCTTTATAAAAAGTAGAATAATGACATTAACAGTATAGTTCACCCAAAAATGAAAATTCTGTCATAATTTGTTCACCTTCAAGTTGTTCCAAACCTGTCTGAATGAATTTCTTTCAGCTCTTGGAAAATAATACTACTGTTAACTTTTTGGTTACCAACAGTTCAGCAGAAGAAAGAAAATCCAATACAGGTTTGGAACAAACAGAGGGTGAGTAGATGATGACAAAAATGTCATTTTTAGGTGAACTATCCCTTTAATAAGATGATTTTTCTCACATTAAAATGCAGACTGATGGAACATGGTACTTTGTGTTACATTTGCTGTTCAAAGTGGCACTGGTGGTCAAAATCTGCTACCTAACATTACAAAATCAGTGATCAGGTGGGTATTCAAGCAGCCTTATTGGATCAGACAGACCTATCAGACCCTGCTCACGTGTATCATACTAAAGTACACTATGCATTTATGTTGACATTTCACAATGATTACTGCAGCTGGGGCTTTTGAGCTAATTTCTGCGACATCCGTGTCTTAGTCTTGTGTAACAAAACACACGGAATGATTTTTATCTATGTTGTATTGAGTACAACAAGGAAGAGAGACTCCTATTTCTGCATTTTATAATTAGAAGAAGTCCTCCAACAGTACTACAGCTTCAAAAGGCATTGAAACAAGAAGCACATACCAACAGGAATCTCATTTCTTTCTATGCTCTCACATATCAAAGAGAAAAGACAAGTGCATGTAATCAGAATATATATATATACAGTACCCTGCTCACGTGTATCATACTAAAGTACACTATGCATTTATGTTGACATTTCACAATGATTACTGCAGCTGGGGCTTTTGAGCTAATTTCTGCGACATCCGTGTCTTAGTCTTGTGTAACAAAACACACGGAATGATTTTTATCTATGTTGTATTGAGTACAACAAGGAAGAGAGACTCCTATTTCTGCATTTTATAATTAGAAGAAGTCCTCCAACAGTACTACAGCTTCAAAAGGCATTGAAACAAGAAGCACATACCAACAGGAATCTCATTTCTTTCTATGCTCTCACATATCAAAGAGAAAAGACAAGTGCATGTAATCAGAATATATATATATACAGTATATATATATATATATACACTGTATATTAATTCTTAATATACTTTTTCAGCTTAGCCAATACTGTCATTTAAAATATTTCTGGTTTGTCACTTGGGCGCTCTTCCTAAAATGTTAAAAAATGGACCGCAGCAGTGCAAAGCATGTGTGCGCAGGCTGAGCAATGCCCTATTTTTCCATCTGATCCATTTTCTTGAAGTAACGTTTGGGTCATGTCCCGGTCTAAACGGGCTGGTAAACTGCACGACTGCTCGACTCATCGCATTCCATTCCCTTATTCCAGACCTCCAGCTGCACTCCAGCCAATCAGAGCTCAGTATGCAAATGAGGAGAGGGGAGCATGTCATTTTGGAGCTGGAGTGCAGGGTGCGCACGGAGCAGCTCGGTGCACAAGAAAATAACGCATTAGTCTTTGGAAAAATAAATATGCTGATAAAAATCATTCAGCAGCAGTGGAATTGGGAATACAGCCAACCCCACAATGTTTGGGAATATATGTGCCTCTCGCTGAGTTATTTCTGAGAACAATGAGTCACAACGAAAAGATTCGTTCTTACGAGTGGCAAAAAAGAGAGAGAAGGAGAGAAGTTCTTGAACTGAAGATGGAGTTTGCAGATGTTTAGTGTTTACACTAGTCGACGTGTGATGCAATTAAAAATATGGTTCCCTCATGTGAGGCATGAACATCAGCTTCAGCCACAGCATGATCTGATCAGTTTTATTTATTTACATATCTAAATATTTAGAGCTTTCTCTTCCAAGAAGCATGCATGAACTATTCTAACTCATCTGCACTGGATCTGACATTTTTTACCTAAATATTAGGGATATTCACGTGTGAATGTAGGGTGATGATGCATTTTAGCAATCATATATTGTCTCCAAACCAGCACATCTGCACTTTAAAGCCAGTTCATATTCTCAGTTTCAGATTCCAGCTGGCAGCTGTGAAAGATCAGAGATGGGTCAGGGAGGATAGTCATGAACTAACGCTCATTATGATCCGCTCAGTATGCATGATGAGCCAGACACGTGGGGGGGGGGAGGACGGGCGCAGCGTTTGCAGGTGAGGGAGCCAGGCCTCTGCAGGTGTTCGCAGGTGAGGGCTGATTTAGATTACAGGCATGGCATCAAGTTCACAGCTGCAGTCTGTGACTTTTGTAAGCTTGCCACCAGACACAGACACCACCATCCCACCCACCTCTCTGGAGATCAGGTCACACAGGTTTCTCACCGAAAGTATTTCAAAGAAGCCAGTTTTTGTGTTTAGAACTCAGAGACTTTTTGAATGCAGTACTGATAAGATGGAGAATGAGGTGGTAGATCTGAAGTCTGCATGTGAGGTTTTATTCTAGTCCCTGCTCTCCTCCTGCTCCCTCACTCCCTTCTCCCTCTTTTTTCCTTTCTTTCTTTGCCATTTCTTCTTCCTCCCATTCTAACTTTCCAAATACAACTCTTAGGTCCCTTCCCCCTCTCGCTTTCCTCTGGTTTCTTAATTCCAGTTCCAGATTTTTCTTACGTTTTGCTGTCAGCCACAGAGCAAGAGAAGCATGACCACAGAAGGCAGTTGGGCTTCAGCCCCACCTCCAGACGAGAGCCACTGAGGGCCACAAAACAGACGAGCTCTTCTGGAGGTGAAACAGTGGGTGGTAGAGAAGTTGAGTATGGGAGAAATATAGACAAATCTGAACTCGATTTTCGTGACGGAGTGAAAAAGAAACTGAAAGACAGTGAGTTACAGACACTGCAACTTTTAGAGGAAGAGGGGAAAGGAACCAAGGACACAACTGAACTAGAGGGATATCCTAAGGAGCGAGGAATCCCCATAACCACCCTCTATTTTCTGCTACTGTCGCATTTCGGAAGGGGAGGGGGTCTCCAGATGTGTTCCCCATCCCCCCTTCAGAGGACTCCCTGTACTCTGTAATTTTGCCAGGCTAAATTGGCTCTCTCAAAAGAGCCTGTGGCAACACAGCCTTGGGCAGAAGAATATCCTGTATACAGACCTATGTTAGTCTAGTCTGTTCCTGTCTGACCACAGCGAGGAAAAGATGAGGCTTTGATTTTTTCCCGTTCTCTTTTAATATATTATTAAAATGACTATTGAGAGTAAATAAGTCACAACTGCGGCATGTAAAGTAAAATTAGTGAGACGGTCACATTTGTCATCACACTGTATAAAATAAATGAACAAAATAAGAAAAGTCAGAATTGTTAGATGTAGTCACAAGAAATAGTCAAATTTGTGAGACACCATGTGAGATATGAAGTCACAATAAAGAGACCCATAGTCAACTGTGTTAACT